TTTTCAACATCATTAAAAGTATCTACATCCCAGTCGGAAAAGCCCCTTTCTAGATTTTCTTGTAATTAATAAAATCTTGTGTTCCTTTAGTGTTCCATTATTATCATAGGAACAATGGCTAACATGGGTGTTTAAATTGGTATCTAATTCTAACAAAAGCATATTGTGATGACTTCCTGTGCCTAGCTTCCTACCCTCATCAACAATAAACTTTATTGTATTATTCAAAATAGTTTTAGAACAAAGCATATAATCAATAGTGCTTTTTTGGTTACCCTTACACCATGTAACTAGGCCTACACCTTCACATAAGTGAGAACAATTTAAAATATACATATTAGAATCATCTTTAAATTGAAGAAGTCGAGTACCATTACTATTAATATGTGGGTCACCATTAGGAATTTCATGACCAATCCTACCATTAAAGTCCCCCATTATAAGAATGGATGGGTCACAATCATTTGTATGATTTTCTAGTTGAATCACCTCTGAAAGTAATTGGTTAGTTACTTCATCTGCCTTTTCATTATCAACTCCATTGACTGGATAATAAACAACTGATAAGTACAAAGGTGCTGATTTTGAATTATTAATACATATTTTATCCAAATTCTTTCAAAATCATCTAGCTTTGAATTAAAGACTTTATCATCTACAATGGTAACATCTTTTGATACAAATATTCCAACACCTCCACCTCTTTTATGTTTCCTACATTTACCCAACCAATTATATCCGTCAATGTGAACATTATTACTATTGGTTAGAAAAGTGTCTGCTACACCAAAAACTTTAATACCCTTATTTGTAATTAATTCAGATATCTCACAAAGTCGTGCAGAAGTTAACCTATTTACATTATTGAAGGCTAATATTTTAATATTACTACATTTGTTTGTACCCGATACCCTTGATTTCCTACTGCGTCGGTGTCTTCGCAGTTCTTGTTCTTCGTTTATAGTATACATTATAGTTCAAAGCATTAAGTGCTTTAACAGTGTCATTTATTACATTGCTAATTTCATTGATAAAACCAAGAAATCTATTGGCGAGAGGCATACCTGATGCATTGTTGCTTGCGATTTCCTATCTTGAACGATCCTGCACAAAGCCGTAGTTATGGGGGAACGCATCTTGTGAGACCTGATTGTTGTAACTGTTGATACGTGGTCTTCGCTGAGAGCGGTGAAAGTGTTCATACTGCCTTGGATTAATAGGGCGATCGTAGCAGTTACGCGGCTGGAATTTTGGCTTGGTCCTGGTTGGCGGTTTTATGATAGCCTGGACGCGATATTTTTTTTCTGTACGAAACATTTGCATGAAACTCCACTCGGGTTTTCTCAACTGACTCGACTCGAAAATCGTCAAAAGGTCATCAACCAAAGATAAACGTCTACAAAACTTCTGAGATACAGGATTTCTGCTCGCTGTCTGATTTTGAAAAAAACACATTGCCATTCTAATATAATGGGTCGTTTAAGATGACATATGTATTATTTGATTTCGCTGCACGAATAATAAAAAGTGTTAGGCCCTATTTGAATTTGAGTTACATACTGTGAACATTTTTATTGTTTAGTTGGCCGCGGTTTTGGATAATCGTTTAACCTATGTCATGACGAATTCGAGTCAACTCTTCCCCAAGTCAACTAGTCCCAATGTCAACTCGGCCCCAATTTACTGTGTACTGTATTAATTGATATTTAAATGCAAAGCCAAAATTAAAGTGTTTTTAAATCGTTGCCTTTGTTATTTCATTTCATTTACATGCACTTACAATAATTAAAACTGCATTAATAAAAATAATATTAAAGTAATATTAAAAATAAATTATACAAAGGTATATAGAATAACTAATAATAATAACAATATAAAATTGGGGCCAAGTTGACTTGGGGCCGAGTTGACCTGCTTCCGCCTAGAATTACTAAAAATTAAGGCAGGGAGTTTGGATTATAGGCCTAATATAGTACAGTATACTGTAGGTGCTTCTTGATTACAAGGCTTAGGCTAAGTTAATTAATGGCAAAATTATATATGGTTATTTATAATTATTATTATTATTGTTAATATTATTGTTATTAATATTATTGTTATTATTATTTAATATTAATTACATTACAAGGCTTAGGCCAAGATCATTAATCCCTGAGTGATATTTTTAATTTATTATATTTAATATTTTTTTACTCACTGTCCCATTTTAATTTCATGTTTAAATTTTGTTCAAAATTTCAGTCAATGGCATGCGAAGCGTGACTGTTGTGTCAGGCCTAGGAACCTAGGGGCCTAGTCTGGCGGAAGGTGGGGGGGGGGGGCTAGCAGGTAGGACCAGCTAACTCAGCTTGGAACTAGGCTGTTCCACTAGGCCCATTATTTAGCCTCTTTTGCTCTAGCCTTTGATAGATGTACCTATTTACCACTGGTACTACTATAGAAGGGGGTACTAGCTGTTGTTGTTGTAGTACATTTGATAACAAACATTAAGAAGCTCACAGTTAGTTACAGACGTAGCCTACATCCCATAAATCGGTAAGATTTTATAGGCCTGCCATAGGTAAATAAAGAACAGTACAGTAAAGGTAATAGAATACTTGAGCGTCACGACATTGCGAAGTGCCTGCTCTTGTTCGTATATCAAACTCGAGTCGAATCAATCCGAGTGGAGTTCCATGCAAATGTTTCGTACGGGAAAAAAAATCGCAGCCTGGACAGCGTTCATGTTACGAAGAAGCAATTTTGTTCCTATTTTCGAGAGATGTAGTCTTCCAGCGTTCAGGTTTGAGTTGACAGCAGATCCATTTCTCAGTAGGAATGTATCATTATTGTCAATTAATTGCGAGTTAGTTTCCTTTGCAATTTCTTTAATGCCGTTGTTCATACGGGCAATTCGAGCTTGGTGTTCTGGTTTGTCAGTACGTGGGCATGCAGTGGACAGGAACACATTCGTAGTTGGTGACTTTGATTTAACAATTAGACATTTCTTATCCGTACTAATGGGTTGACTATCCTGCTTTGATCTTTCTTGCTTTCCTTCAACTAATTTGCTCTGTAATTCAGAAATCAGTGCTTTCTGATCATTTAGTTGTTGCAGAATTGAAGTGAGATCTTCAGCCATTTGGCAAATTGTGTCCTGTTGCTGGGTACTTTGTCGTGCAAGTTCCTGTACAAATCTTGGTAGAGTGTGGCATTTCGGGCAGAACCATACTTTAGGGTTTGATTGCGGCTTCTGATTTACACATATTCTGTGGTAATGTTCATTACAAATAGAACATTCTAATGTTTTCCCATTACCAACGTAGCCAAGTTTACATCCATCTATGCACTTTATTCTTGGTGTAGTAACATTACTGGAACTTCTTCTGCTAGTAGTGGATGCAGAAGTACTACTGCTAGAAGCAGGACTCGGTGAATTAGAAAAGATATTTCTCCTCGGCGAGTTATCTGATGAGTTCACATTCTTACGTGGGCTTGCTTGGTGAACCATGATTTTTGGCTTCCGCTAAATGAACAATGCTTTATAAGCCTTCTAAAACAAAGAACTGCTGATTTCCTTTAGAACAAAAGGCTAGCTTGGTTGCCCGAATGTAGGCAAGAATGGCCCCGGAAAAAATGGCCCAGGAAAAAAAGGCCCCGGTAAAAATGGCCCCAGTGAACATGGCCCCAAATGACAAGTAGGTAAAAATGGCCCCAATGAAAACATTCCGTAATAGAAATGATATTTTTTTTTTTAATCTTCAAATATTTAAATACTGTAATAAGCAAGAATTGAATCAATAACAAATACAGTTACCAGTACACAACAGATGCAAATAATGTACTGAGAGATTATCAGAAAACAACGGCCATTGAACATTTTTTGATAGTTGAATTAAGTTTTAAAAACGTTATTCCACTAACAAAGTAGAGGAATGACATACATACAGTACTTCAACTACCAAAATATGCAACTCATAGATAACCACAAAATTCACTTATTGTTAAGTATCAAATGAAATAACTTTACATGTTATAAACAGTGCAAATAAACAGTAGTTAAAGCATGTGGATCAATTGTGTGTTTGAATGACAAGTTCATGTATGGGAAAAGGGAGGCTTACTTTACTTCAACAAATGTTCTGCTTAGAGTTACTTCAAAGAAGTATTTGTTAATCAAATATTGTTGTTAAAGTAAACTGAATAATTAGGAATACATTTATTTAATTGCATACTTGGTTTTACTCCCCGCCAAGTAAATTTAAGTGCCTAAAACTATACTAAATAATGTAAACTGAGATACTATATTATATACATAATTATGTAAATATGGCAATTATGCTAAGAATTAAAATGGCGTGTAATTGTGAGGGTAAAGTAATTATGGTAGGATCAAATGGTATTGCTAAATCCCAAAAACATCCTAACACACTCTGTAGAAAACCAAAGAATTCAATTGTGATTGACTCACTTGGTATATCAATAAGAAAATTCAATATTTATAAGAACCTATTTTTTGTTTAAAATGTTGATTTTTTTGGTGAAAATATACTTGCAAATACACCACAATCCTCCAAACACACTGCGAACCCCATCCAAACCCTTTAATTACGATTGTAGAACTCTCTTTTTCTAAAAAAAAAAATAATAATTTGATGTTCATATAAACTCATTGTTTGTTGGGTTTACCAATACCCGGATTGAATTTCTAGACAAATTTTGTGATTCTGCTTCCTTGAAATTGGCCACAAATAAATTATTTTAGCATTTAAATGAAAAAAAAAAAAGTGTTATTCATGGCCTTTTTTTTATCTTTGAATATTTTATCATTGAATATGTAATTTCTGCAAAAAGTAAAATGTAAATGGCAATTTATTTGATGTTAGATTCCTTTTACAAACTAAATTATTTCAGTTTAAAAAAATGCATATAATGATTTTAAGAAAATCAGTTTTAATACAGAATTTTATTATTGGGGCCATTTTTACCTACCTGTCATTTGGGGCCATTTTTACCGGGGCCATTTTTTCTGGGGCCATTCTTACCGTACACAGGTTGCCCATACAGAGATGCTTGGCTGTGCTGTTTAAAGCTTGGTGAGACGTAGAAATTATACCACAAACATTGAGAAATTACCTAAAGAATACCTTGAAACAGTTCAAAACAATCAATGATCCTAGATCCTCATTAAATATTCTTTACAATGATGTAAATACCAACAAATAAATCAGCGAAAGGTAGCAAATTTTCAAAAATTATCAGGAGCTCGACTAGATAACTTGTTGACTGCCCTAATCCATGGTCAATAGTTTATAGGGTTTGGTCACCACAACTGCAACTCTATGTGGATTATATGAAATAATAGATGTAGTTATTTTCATATATTATTCATATTCATATTACACATATACATTTTATATATAATGCAAACAACACAACAATATTAGGCTAGCTGACTATCAATATTTAGTAATTGAATATTGCTACTGTGCCGTTACCCTTATTTGCCACTGCAACTCTCCTTGGATGATGGGAAATGATGCATAATCCACATGAATTGTTGATTCCATCTTCATGCTTATCAATTCTTTTAATGAAAATTCCATCACTACTGAAAAGTTGTAGTTTGTGATCACTTGATATAATGATGTTGTCATCCTCATCAACTACTACTGCACGTGGATTCCTCACCTTACCATTTTCATTACCTGCTTCAACAAGGACATTCATGAACCTTCCTTCATAATCAAATAATAGTAATCTACTGTTGCCATGCTCCAATACAAGAAGGTGTCCTTGATTTGTAAGGGTAATATCATAGACTCCCTTCATTTGACCATCCTGTTTGCCTTTTGATATCTTCTTCAGTATACAACCGTTAGAAATGTTAAACATGAACACACAGTTAATATTCCAATCTCCTACATACAAAATACTTGATTCTTCATCCACATAGATGCCAACTGGATCCTTCAAAACTCCATGACCAATTGATTTGACCACTTGACCATTCATATTGCATATTTTGATGCATTCATTTCCTGAGTCAGTGAATGCTATGTTACCATTCTTCATTGTGTACATTGTTCTAACTTTCACACCTTGTGGCAATGTAACCGTACCAATATATTCTCCTGATTGCGTGTATTGTAGTATTTCATTTGTAAAACATGAAACCAGCAGGGAATCATCTTTACACATAACTACATCTCTATTTACTTTGTCTATTAGAATGGTAAATACTAATCCTTCTTTCTCTAATTTGATCATCATAGGTGACTGCTTGATTGGTTCACCATTAGCACTCATGTCTAGTTTACAAACTCCTGGACTTGTGCATTTACTTGTCATAAAATAATCTCCATTGTCACCTTCTTCAACTTTGGCGATGTTGGTTTTTCTTGTAGGCTGTGTCCTTGCCTTCAGTTTATTTGCATTTACTTCACATTCATCTGTTTTTATTATTTCGACAACTTCCGCACCTTCGGTCATATATTTCCCTCCCTTTAATGTTATATAGTCTGCTACTCTCATGTGTGATACATACCCAATATCAAATCCTTGCAATGAAGTCATTTGTTTTTTGTTTATGTAGATGTAAATCTGTCCATTATCAGCTGGCTTTGTTTTTGGCAATTCATTGATTCTGTCCTTCAGTGCTATAATTACTCTATTACTTGACTGCATTGCTGTTGCTTTATCACTCTGCAAAAGCTGATTAAGAAACTTGAGTTTTGTATTTATATCAGATATTGTTGTTTTCAGTTCATCCATTTGGACATCTTGTACCTTCTTTTTCTTTCTGTATATTATCTCTATTTCATTTTTAATTTTTTCTCCATTTTCTTTAATTTTCTTTATCATCATCTGTACATGATTGTTGACATCTCTTAAACTTGTATCTTTACTTTGTTCTAATTTTGTAGCATTCTGAATTACTGCTTTAAGGCCATCTTGCAATTTGTTTTTGCAGTCATTGGCAGCTTTCTCCAATGTTGCTGAAGTTTCTTTAAATGTTTGGAATGCTTCAGAAATGCTGATTGGTTTGTGATTTCCTTCCCATGCATTGTGGTCAGTAACTGTGCAATGCATGCATATTGGAATATTGCATATGCTGCAGAAAAATTCTAAAGTCTTGTTGTGAAGTGAACACAGCGGAGGATGTAACGCTGCAATCTGTAAAGGGCTCATTGATCGCACTTCCTCCACTGAATGTAGCTTGTGGTTTACTAACGCTGGAAATATTTTGTGATGGTTACTACAAGTACAGCACAAGTAATATCTGCATTCCTGGCAGTAGTGTTTTGCCTCTCCTCTTTCACAAATACATTTCATCTCATCTCTTTTGTCAATTTGTTCAATAGTTTCTAATAAGTTAATCAGAAACATGTTTGGTGGAAGCTTCTGAAGCCCACCCTCTGGAATCAGATATGATTTTGAGCAAGTTGGACAAGTCAGCTTACCCTTCTCCTTAACCCAGTCTTCCAGACATGCCAAACAGAAACTATGGAAGCAGTTGAGGGATTTAGGATTTTGAAGTCTCTTAAAGCATATTGTACATTCTAGGACCATCTCATCAACATTGTCCAGAAACTGATCCAGTTCATTGGTAGCCATCTTGAAATAATCCTGAAAATTATAAATTATTAAAAAATATTTTCATAACCGTGAGTTTTGGTTGTCATGCTATAGAGTAATTATTAGTTGAAACAGTAGTTCAGTAACATTTATGATGGCCATGTTAATATAATGACTGATATAAAAATGTACGAGTCTTTTTCACTAGCACCTATGGTCCCTCAAACGTCTTCCTTACTCAGCATCTTGGTTCATGTTTTTTTGTTTTTTTAAAAATTATTTTTGCATGCAGATCACTTCTTTTTTTTTCTCATTACTGATTCAGTTTTATTTTCAAATATTCTGGCATTTAAGTTGCGGACATGATTGTAATAGATCACAGTCGTTATTGCCACTTGTGGATTCAAGGGGGTGGGGGCCATATTTTCTATTTTTAGCCATATTTAATATAAAATTGTACTTCAAATCAATTCCGAAAAACTTCAAACTTTCAATGGAATAGTGTTTTTTCAGGCTATCTCACTTTGCCTAACAGAAAAAAATTACATTTTGACTCAACTTTTTAAAGGAAGACCGAATTTTACCTACAAGAGTGCATGTATGTGTTAGTAATAAAAACAAAATAATGGACAAAAATAGCATTACCAAGAAATTGCCTTCAATACGAATTTTACGGCACAAATGTATGCACGCTTACGGAGCACCGCCATTTTGACACTTTCAACTGAATGCTGGGATCGTTGGTGGGGCGGAAGTCCCAACATCCTGTCTCTTATACACATCTAGATGTGTATAAGAGACAGTATATATATATATATATTTTTAATTCTACTCATACTAATATACCGTAAGTAGGAAAATAGTTTAAGACTATAAACCCTTTTTTTTCTCCTTTTTTTTTTATTTATTCATTCTGAAGTAATTATAAGTAAAAATATTCAAGGACAAAAACACAGAAAAGTACAAAAAGCAACTTATTTCCACTGTGATCCCTAAATGAGAATGTTTGGATGTGTATAAGGATTGTGCATTTTGAACATCATAAGGTAATTTATTCCATTCGTCAATAGCGGTATCGATAAATGAAAATCTACTATGTGTACCAGATTTTTGTTTATAAATTGACATTCTAGAAGTAGAAAATCTAGTATTATAGTTATGAAATAGGTTAGTGAACTCAATACCAATATTTAAATATACAGGTGATAAGCCATTTATAACTTTTAAAATTTGAATACATTTACGTTCAGCAACTCTAGTTGAAACAGGTAGCATGAGTTGAACATGAGTTCGTGGATGAAGTCCCAAAACATCTTATTACCTTATTTTGGGATGTTTGAAGTTTATTTTTAAGTTTTTGAGTAAGCGAAGAGAACCATGTACTACAGCACCCATGTGACATTGTATAAATGAAGACCCAAGCAATTTGAGTGATTTATACGTTAGTAGTGGTAGGTGTGTTGGTATTCAAGTGGCAGTAGGTGACTACATTTTTTACCTATTTGTCAATGCAGTAATTTTTACATAAAGGTGGGTCTAGGGTGTGGGGTATGAGAGGGGATTTTTCTACCTTTTTAATTGGCTTCTTTTTTTCTGGGACATTTACGTGTTAAATTACTTTATTTGCCATGAAACAATTCAAAATGTGTAAAGTGTAAGAGAATAGCTACCTTTATCAGTGTTAGAAAGTAAAGTGTGGATTAATTAATCAAAAATAACTTTCTACTAATAGCGCTCAAGAACACCATGGTACTGATGAGAATAAATTCAATTCAAAGAATGCATATAATCTAATAACAGAATAATTTTTAAATAATTTTACTATTAAATACAGAAAATTTAGCAGTTGTTGACAGAATTTTCTCTTGATCACTGTTTGAAAATTGGTTGAGCATGAGCATTCTTAAATGGACTAGGGATCTTACAACAGCTAAATACAAATTACAGCATTGATATATATATAGGGTGCAGCAGTTGATTCATTTTTTATTTTCGTGAAATATTGCACTACTGTATTTGCGATGATGTAAACATGGCAACAAACAAAACCAGGGAGACATCAATGTGTTAATCCAGCAGTTTCATTTTTATTGTTAAGTGCATCGATCAAGGCTTTTAGCATAATGCGCTATTTAAGCCAAAAAATTATTATAATAATATTAATAATAATAATTTGTTATTATTATTATTATTATTTTCATTATTATTATTATTATTTTGTTATTTTTGTTCTGCTTGTTCTTTTTAGTGCCAATGACAAAAAGGTGTAGTAGCTGTGGCGGCTGTAGGATATATTTTCTGGGGGCCGAGCTGTCCAACAGGGAGATTAGAGCTCGTAGGCCAGAGCTTGTGGAAGATTTTGAGAGCGTGTTTCCCTTCCAAATGGAATTTTATTTAAGAATAGGAACCTCTAGATGGCCATAAATGACACTGAGACTGTGACAGTGTTCAAATCATTCCGATTTTGGCCGGCCAAAATCGGTCCTCCTTGGATAATATTGGTCCGGCCAGGTCAAATGAGACTAATTAAAAATAATTTGCGTTCTGTTATGACAAATGCTCATTTAGATACCCTCATGATGGTTGGAATACATCGTGATAGGTGAAGCAACCTCGACCATGACAGCGTGGTTGACAGACTTCATGCAAAATTTCCAAAATATAAAATTTCACTTTCAAGAATGAGGATTTGAAAATATGATGGTTACGTTGCATACTCTTTGTTTCTTGCTTTATTCAAAATGTTCTGGTTTTGGAAGCTGATTTCAACATTAGAAAGCATAGCCTACGTGAAGTCATAGTATAGTAACTCGATGCCTATCAAATAAGTAATAAAAATTCGCCATAATTCATCAAATATCCGTGGCTTCTAGACCCCCACCGGGGGCCCTAGGCAGCCCCCTGGCCCCTAGCCAAGGGAAACTCGATTCGTTCCACTAGCCCCCCCCCCCTTTTACCCCCTCCGTCTGGCAGGTCTGGCGCCACCACTGATTGATAGCAGAGTATAGAAGTTGATATATGTTTTTTTTTTGGAGGCTTCAGTGTGAAATAGAGGTTAAATGTAAGATCTTGTAATGTTTAATTGTGTTTTCTCATGATTCTAGCTAGAGCATAAGCAATAATATATCACGGGTGATATTAGATTAACATGAGATTTGGTATGGCCTATCGTTAGGTTGGGTGAGGAACGAAGTTATGTTAGAAATGCTGTACTCTCTTCTTCCTGCTTTTATCAAGTAATTACAGCACAGTGAGTGCTTACTAATCGGTCTGCATAGATTTTGAGGGAAAAGCTTTTGGTGGGAAATTAGAAATTGAACGACCAATCAAAATGAAGGTGATGGGTTAAGTCCAGTCTTGAGCCTATTTTGCATGCATCGCCGTATATAAATAGGCTACAGCAGCTATATGCGAAGGAATTCATTTGATAGCAGAGGCTCGTTTTGGTTAGTACAGTATAAGAAGTAAAAGAAAGGTTGTGCTTACTTTTTAGTTTCATGGTGTTACACCCTACAAGGAAGCCTAATTATTTGACATTTTAACATATCGATAACCATTAATTAAAGCTGCTAAAAATAAGGAAAGAATCATGATCCAACAGCCGGGAATATCGTTGTATACAGTATATTATTGAACACACGTTCACCCACCCTTCTTTCTACCAAATATATAACTTAGTTGCGGATTTAGAAGAGGGTATGGTGGTAGGTCCTGTCCCTGAAAAAAAAAAGGAAAAACAAAAGAAAAAGAAGTAATTGGTCGCCTATATAATACGCCTCCGAGGTTATTTTCGGTCGTCTAGAGAGTACAGTATTGGAAAACAATGCTGTGGGAAACAATAGCTGGATATATAGAC